TAGCTCTCGGTCTCCCCCCATGCCGTCTCCACCAGCCAGGATTTTGTGCAGACAAAATTTGGCTGGCAGGGTTGTTCCCCGGGAAGCGAGCAATGTGCCCAAAGAAGTGCAGCTGGTGATCACGAATCAAGCAAGTGACCCTCACCATGCCAACCTCCCTGAGTACTCTGCTGTTGGACACATGGTCCTGCCAGCGGTACCCAAAGATTCGCCACATGGAGGTTGTCACAAAGGTGTTTAGATCTTTGCCCCAGCCCCTTAGTAAGTGTCCAGGCCTCACAAGAATATAGTAAGACCGAGAGCACAAGAGACTTGAAAACTCAGACTTTTATACCTCTAGTCAGATATCGCAAACGCCACACACCTTTGTCCAGTGATTTCATAGCACCCTGTGCAAGGCAAACAGGTCAACAAACGAATCAGTGACATCCACGTTCCCACCCTTTGCCAAGACGGACGTGACAGAGTTATCCAAGCTGTCCCGAAAGCCTGAATCTTGGTCTTAACCCACAACACATGGAGTCCAAGCAGTTCAGCCTTTGCACTTAGTGCGTCAAGTGCTCCCACTAGAGAATCAACCAACTCTGCCAACAATATGCGGCATCATCTGCAAAGTCAAGATCAGTTATCTTGACACTTTCATAAGAGATCCCACAACCTGTGCTTTCCATCACACCTCCCATAATCCAGTCCATACAAGTGTTGAAAAGCATAGGAGCCAGTGTGCATCCCTGTCTAACTGCCTCAACAGGAAAATAGACACCAGAGGTGTGGGGATACCACAAACCTTCAGAATTCTCTATGGGGCCTCTCTATATACTGAGTCGAAGGCCTTGCGGAAATCATTATAGGACTACTAAGAACCCTCTGTTATATTCCCGCATCCACTCAGACAGCACACGTAGTGCCAAGATATGTTCAACGGTGGACCGCTTGTTCAGAAGAATTCGCGCAATAATTTTGACGGGTACCGACAGGAGTGTAACCCCTCTGTAATTGCTACAGTCCTGGGCATCACCATTCCCTTCCAGATACAATTAGTCCCTTTTTGCAGTCATTTGGGATGACGCCAGTGCTCCACACTGAGCACATCAGTCTTTGCAACCACATCAGGGTAACCTCACCTCTAGCCCGGAGCATCTCAGGACGGATCCCACACACCCCTGGGGCACTCTCATCCCGCAGTTGGCCCAATGCCTTCCGAGTTTCCTCTAAGGAAGGCTGGTCACAACTAACGAGAGAGGGCCACCTCCAGGGCAGGGGGACAATCAACCCTGAGCTCATCCGTTTGGAGGGTCGGCGTGGAATAGCTTCTGATAGTATTCGGTCCAGCGAGACCTCACCGCAGACTCATCCGTCAGCAACCATCTATCAGTCGCCTTCACTGCAGAGTAGCGCACCACAGATGCCGAGTGGCACAACTTCCTGATTGCTCTATAAGCCAGACTTGAGGTACCTGTTGACAAGTGCCTCTCCACCGACTCACAGAACTCCAGGACCTGCGCCTCTCGATCTTGGCGCACCGCTCTAACAGCCTGTCCCCTCAACACCCTGTGCAGTCTGACGTCTCCATCAAGTCTAGCCTGGCGACTCTGTTCGATTGTTTCAACCGATCAGTACGGCCAGACCAGAAATAGGTGTAACCACCTACTCTGATCTCGCCAGTACCCGATATGCGTGCCTTGGACGATGCTGCCATGCTTATACCGAGTCGACCAAGCTCCAATGACATCGCAAGCAAGCGTGCATCCTCTCAGAGAGCACATTCCATGCTCCAAGCCGGACATCCCGCCTCAGATTCAGCCGAGACGGCCGCAGAGAGGTGTTCGACACCTTGGCACCACCAGCACAGGAACCCCCATGATGTCGCCGACACCGACGTCGGTGCTGTTTTGGGCTGTGAGGTTTCCTCCTAATCTTACTGTGGGGTTCCCGAGGGATTTGTCTCGGTCTTCATGTGATGTACTGCCCTACGTAGAGCTCTGCGCAGGGTAGCAACGTCAGGAGTACTTCCTCACAACAAATTATTATTTCTCTTATGGGTTCTAGCGATGTCAATAATGGGGAGAGAGGGTGCCAACCCCACTCCTCATAGGCTACAGTTAAGGGGGAAAGGGCGCCCGCAACCTTCCAGCTGCACTAAGCAGCCCTGATATTCCTTTCTTAAATACAAATTATCAAATATATTATAAGAATGTAAATGTAAATTTGGAATTTTCTTTATCTGTAAAGTGTAAAAACATATTTTTTACTGTACATTAAACTTTCATTTTATTTCCTGTAAAAACGTAAAATGCCTTTTTTATTTCCTGTAATCTGTACCAGCTATCCTCCCTTGCCCTCCCCTTATATGGATGAAATCAGCTAAATAATCTATATACATAATATTTGCACTTGTTTAAGAGAAATATGAATGCTTCATATCTTTACAACGATCTCAGTTATATTGTTCTAGAGAGCACACTGTTTGCATTACAACAATAAAATTAAAATCATACATGTGCATTTATTCCTTGTAAAACATTCTTCATTGATCTTTATTTGTATTTTTTTCAAAAGCAAACAAAACTTTCCATTCTGATATTTCATATGTGGGTAATACTGCCACCTAGTGGCACCTAGTGACAACTTTTAGTTTAAACATAAGAGAGCGCTGTTCAGATATTGAATCTTAA